AGAAAGCGAGAAATCACCCCCCAGGGGGGATGGTCACGCCGCAATCCCCTCTCCTCCATTCTCCTCTCGGGATCTTGGGCACGCACGCACACGCGCCCGGCGTGAGTTTTTTAAGCCACTGGGTCCGGGACATGAACCGCGGTCGACTACGTGGGAATCCAGCGACATAGCCACTGCTGGTTCCCCCTCATATTTACTTTTGAATAAGTAAAATACGTGGTACATCAGATGGTAGGCATAAGAAATATAAGAGAACATAAACAGAAGAGAAAGACCTGGGGAACAAGAGAAGGCAGTTTACAATCAGCAATAAGGCAGGTAAGGACCCTTCATTGAGAAGGTAGCATTTGAGCCAAGGTCTATAGGATGCAAGGGAGGGACCCACGTGGACCTCTGGGAACAAGCTAGCCATGGAGCGGGAGTAGCTACTGCAAAGTTGGGCTGGGCGGATGCCTGGCACCACAGGACCTGGGGGTGGGTGCGGTAGGCAGGAATAGCAGGGGCCAGTGTGGTGGAAGCTGTGAGGGAGCAAGTGAGTGAGGAACTGAGGGGAAGAAAGTGATGAGGTCAGAGGGATGATGGGGGCCTAGATAGAGGAATGACTTACAGGTCATGGGTCATGGTGAGGACTTAGCTTGTACCTGATGTGTACACAGGTGGGGCGCTGAGCCCTCCTGGAAGGTCCCACCATGACTCAGGTGCTCCCAGGCGTGGGGGCAGGAGCAAGAGACTAGGGAGGAGGCTGCTGGGGTGTCCTTGTGGGAGAGGAGGGGGCCCTGCCAGAGTTGGGGAGAAGGGTCTAGATTCTAGATGGATTTCGTAGGTGGCATCGAGACGCTGTGTAACAGTTTGGATGTGGGTGTGCAGGAGAGAGAGAGGTCAAAAACAACCTTGAGATGTTGGCAGGACCCCTAGAAGAACTGTGATGACCGAGATGGGAAAGGTGGGGAAGGAGCAGTTTGGGGACAGAACCCAGCTCTAGATGGGGCCATTCGGAGGCCAGAGGTGCCCGATAGACTGGCCCTGCTGCCTTGGCCCCCCGCATTGCCTGGACAGGACCTGCCAGCCGACGCTCAAGGCACCTGGCCTCCCTCCTCACCCCGGCAGGTCCATGGAGCTGGAGTCGGTGGGGCTGGGTGGGGCCGCAGCCTTCCGGGAGGTTCGGGTGCAGTCAGTGGTGGTGGAATTCCTGCTCACCCACGTGGATGTCCTGTTCAGTGACACCTTCACCTCTGCTGGCCTGGACCCTGCAGGTATGCCCACTCACCCCCTGGTGCCCTGGCTACTGTCCCGTCATTGTCAGGGCCGCAGCGGGAGGGCAGGTGGGCTCCCAGCCCTACCCCTACCCTACTGAAGCTGGACCTCCTCCCTGGCTCCTTGAGGACCCCGCCCCGGCCCATCCCTCCCCGCGCCCCCCTCCTTCTCATTTCAGCTCCTACGCTCAGGATCCCCACTTCTTGGCCCGGACGCCGTTCTTCCTTCACCCCTTGTAGCTCCTGGGGGCGCTTGGGGCCATGGGTCCACCTGGGAGGAGGTGGGAGGTCCCCAGACTTGACCCCATCCCGGCCCCACCCAGACTCCCCGCCCTGCCCGGGACCCCAGTCCAGTCAGGACTCAGCTCGTCGGAGGGCCCTCTGGCCCGAGGTAACTGAAGCCAGAGCCACTGCCCTCGCTGGCTGCTGGGAGCTGCCTCCTCATCAGCCCATTCTGCCTCACCCCTCCTCCTCACCTGCCTGCCGCCCACCCATTCCCGCCTGCTCCACCCTGGCCCCCTGCCTTGCCAGCCCGGGTGGGCACGCTGCCGGGCCGGGGCTTGGGCTGTGGCGCTTGGCTTTGCCTGTGGCCTTGGGTGGCCCAGAGCTGACAGCAACCCCTTTTCCAAACTCCCCAGGCCGCTGCCTCCTCCCCAGGCCCAAGTCCCTCGCGGGTAGTGGTCCCTCCACCCGCCTGTTGACACTGGAGGAAGCCCAGGCACGTACTCAGGGCCGGCTAGGGACACCCTCTGAGCCTACAGCTTCCAAGGCCCCATCCTCACCTGGGGAAAGGTGAGTGGGCTGCTGGGGGTGGGGGCAGCTTGGAGACTCTGGTTCCTTAAACCAACTCCTGTTTCTCACCCAAATCCCAGAAGGAAAGGGGAGCGAGGGGAAAAACAGCGGAAGCCGGGAGGTAGCAGCTGGAAGACTTTCTTTGCACTTGGTCGGGGACCCAGTATCCCCAGAAAGAAGCCTCTGCCCTGGCTGGGAGGCAGCCGTGCCCCACCACAGCCTTCAGGTCAGAAGTCATGCAGTTGGTGTGGCTGGGGGAGGGGGTCTGCAGAGCACACTCCTACCTCCCCTGCTCCCCTGCCTCTCCTCGCAGGCAACCGCCCGGACACGGTTACACTGAGATCTGCCAAGAGCGAGGAGTCCCTCTCGTCACAGGCCAGCGGTGTTGGTGAGCACGGTGGTGGTGGGGGGCACCTGTGCCCAAACAGATCTGGGCCCGGGGCCTCCAAATGTTATACATCAAATCTGGGAGTATTGGGTTTAAGATATTTTTTTTTTTAGTTTTTTTTTTTTTTTACCATAGGGCATGTGTGTTTGCCAGAGAGAGACAGTGAAAGTGAGAAATCAGCCCCCGGTGGAGATGACCATGCTGCAATCCTTTCTCTAGTTCCCTCCCGGGACTTTAGGCATGCATGCACACATGCCCGACATGACTTTGAAGCTGCCAGTTCTGGGACTTAAATCATGGTCAGCCACATGGGAATCCAGCACCTTAACCACCATACCAAGTACTGGCCCCTTAAAATGCTTTAATCCAGACTTTAGGTTGACTGAATGGTCACCTTTGGTTCATTACACACTGTATTTGTTGGGCCATGCAGGGACATTTAAAAGTCTCTTTTTTTTTCACTCCCTTTGAAAAAAGGTCACATAATATTACGAAAACCCATGAAGCTGCTAGCTATGTATTTGTCGGGCCATGCAGGGACATTCAAGTCTCTTTTTTTTTCACTCCCTTTGAAAAAAGGTCACATAATATTACGAAAACCCATGAAGCTGCTAGCTAGAGCTAATCTATAGAAGGCCTCAATCCCTTACCTGCGAGCTCCTCTCCTCTCCCACCTGCTGCCCCTCTGCCAGAAGCACCCCTGAGTTTGGTGGTCATCACTCCCTTGCTCTTAAGATTTGATCACATGCAGGTGTATGTAAAAATACCAGATTGCTCAATCCTGGCCTTTTATTTTTAGAGAGACTTTTGCTGTAGGATGTGCGCACTCGTCACAGAGACAGAGAGACAGAAAGCGAGAAATCACTCCCGGGGGGATGGGCACGTCGCAGTCCCTTCTCCTCCATTCTCCTCTCAGGAGCTTGGGCACACACGCACATGTGCCCAGCTTGAGTTCTAAGTCGCTGGGTCTGGGACTCAAACTGCACTTGACTATGGGAATCCAGCAACATAACCATTATGCCATGTGCTGGTCCCCAGTTCTGGCCATTTTTAAACGTTATTTAAAGAGTGTCTTAAGACGAGGGTGCGGTGCAGTGTGTGGGTTTGACGTCTCACTCAGCACCACATTCCACACTCCCACCAGTGCTGTGGTGTGGCTCACCACTTTCTGGCATGCTGTGTGGATGTTCCTTAGGAGTTGTTTATCAGTCCTACTCCCTGTGGGTCTGGGGGCGTCTTATGAGCAACCCCTGTCATCCCCACCCTTCTAGGAGACTGTCCTATAGAGATGCACATGTGCAGGTGTATAGGCCAAGGCCTGGTTGTTTTCGGAAGGGGCTGTCCCGTCTGCAGTCCCGGCAGCTGTGTGTGAGACCCTGTAGGTCTCGAGCTCACGGCCCATGGGGTTACCGGGCTCCACTCTTGCTGTGGGGTTACCGGGTTCCATTCTTGCTGTGATCTGGAGTGGTTCTCTTCATGGTCTTGCCTCATCACCTGGAAGCCTGAACAGCTCTTTCTGGGTGCACAGCCGTCATGGCCTCTCCATGTTAACCCTGACTGCCTATGGACACCTGTGCCCTGTTCTCATAGACGCGTGAGGTTGTGAAGTTCTGAGCCCTGACCCCTAAATGCTTCCGCCCTGTCCTTCCAGGCCTCCAGAGGCTGCACAGGCTACGGCGGCCCCACTCGAGCAGTGATGCTTTCCCTGTGGGCCCTGCACCTGCTGGATCCTGTGAAAGCCTGTCCTCCTCGTCCTCCTCCTCCACATCCTCCTCCTCCGAGTCCTCGTCCTCTGAGTCCTCAGCAGCTGGGCTGGGGGCACTCCCCGGGTCCCCCTCGCACCGTACCTCAGCCTGGCTAGATGATGGCGATGAGCTGGACTTCAGTCCACCCCGCTGCCTGGAAGGACTCCGAGGACTCGACTTTGATCCTCTTACCTTTCGCTGCAGCAGCCCCACTCCAGGGGACCCTGCACCTCCTGCCAGCCCGGCACCCCCAGCCTCTGCCTCTGCCTTTCCACCCAGGGTGACCCCCCAGGCTGTCTCACCCCGGGGGCCCACCAGCCCTGCCTCACCCACTGCCCTGGACATCTCAGAGCCCCTGGCTGTATCAGTGCCACCTGCTGTCCTAGAACTGCTGGGGGCTGGGGGGACACCTGCCTCAGTCACGCCAACACCAGCCCTCAGCCCCAACCCAGGCCTGCGCCCTCATCTCATCCCCCTGCTGCTGCGTGGAGCCGAGGCCCAGCTAAGTGACACCTGCCAACAGGAGATCTGCAGCAAGCTGGCACTGCCTGGTCCCCGGGGAACCCAGGGCCAGCACGGTGAGTCCTGCTCAGCCCACGTCATGCTCTTACGACCCCGAGGCCACCACAGGACCCAGCTGATCCCTCTCCCTCTCCTTTCTGTATAGGTCCTGGTATGAATTCACCGTTGCTGCCCCCACCCCTGTCCCTCCTGCGCCCTGGGGGGGCCCCACCCCCACCCCCAAAAAACCCAGCACGCCTGATGGTTCTGGCCCTGGCCGATCTGGCTCGCCGCTCACTGTCCCTGGAGGTGGGTGGGGAGCCCCTGGGAACCTCAGGGAGTGGGCCACCCCCCAACTCTGTAGCCCACCCGCCTGTCTGGGCCCCAGCACCCCCACCCTACCTACCAAGACAACAAAGCGATGGGAGCCTGGTGCGGAGCCAGCGGCCCATAGGGACCTCTAGGAGGGGACTCCGAGGCCCTGCCCAGGTCAGTGCTCAGCTCAGGGCAGCTGGAGGGTGCAGGGATATGCCAGAGACTGCTGCCAAGTCCCTGTGCTCTGTCCCCTCGCAGGTTCCTACCCCCAGCTTCTTCTCAGCCCCCAGAGAGTGCCGGCCACCCTTCCTCGGGGTCCCCAAACCAGGCTTATACCCTCTGGGTCCCCCATCCTACCAGCCCAACTCCCCAGCCCCAGCCTGGAGGAGCTCCCTGGGCACTTCTGCACCCCTCGACAGGGGAGAGAACCTGTACTATGAGATCGGAGCGGGCGAAGGGCCCCCCTATTCCGGCCCCACCCGGTCCTGGAGTCCCTTTCGCTCCATGCCCCCGGATAGGCTTAATGCCTCATATGGCATGCTCGGCCAGTCGCCGCCACTCCACAGGTCCCCGGACTTCTTACTTAGCTACCCACCGCCCCCCTCCTGCTTTCCCCCTGAGCACCTTGGCTACTCAGCGCCCCAGCACTCTGCCCGGCGCCCAGCCCGGCCTGAGCCCCTCTATGTCAACCTAGCCCTGGGGCCCAGAGGTGCTTCACCCGCCTCTTCCTGCTCTTCCTCTCCTCCTGCCCACCCCAGAAGCCGTTCGGACCCTGGACCCCCAGCACCCCGCCTCCCTCAGAAACAGCGGGCACCCTGGGGCCCCCGCACTCCTCATAGGGGGCCTGGGCCCTGGGGCCCTCCCGAGCCCCTCCTGCTCTACAGGGCAGCCCCACCGGCCTATGGGAGGGGGGGTGAGCACCATCGAGGGTCTTTGTACAGAAACGGGCAAAGAGGAGAGGGGGCTGGTCCCCCACCCCCTTACCCCACTCCCAGCTGGTCTCTCCACTCTGAGGGTCAGACCCGAAGCTACTGCTGAGCGAGAGCTGGGGGACCTCTCCTTCCCTTCACCCTCACTGGATCTTGGCCCAACCCAACCCCTTGTTTTGTACTTTCTTGAGTTCCCAGCCCCTACCCAGGTTTCTAACTTTGTAACTTGATGCTGATGTGGGTCTCTAACCTATACTCATAGCTTCCTTCTCCTGGACTGAAGGGTACACCCATCCTCCCACCATCCTCCATCCTGGGGGCCCTCGCACAAATCTCGGGGAGGGCTAGGCTAACGCCGCCCTCCCTCTCCCTCCAGGAGCCCCCAGCATGTCTTGACCTGTGCACAGGGGGTGGGGGACAGCTCCTGCCAATCCCTCCCCACATATCCCACTAAACCATCTGACAAAACTAACAAATAAAAGTGAAAATGTGACTGCAGGTGTCATGAGGGACCAGACTCAGTGACTGAAGCACAGCCAGGGAGGCCACTTTATCGCTTTATTTCCTTTGGGGAAGTCACTGACTACTTGTTTCTGGAAGGTTCTGAGAGGCAGTATCTGCAGAAAGGGAGCCATGGGAATCCAGGCCAGGAGAGGGGCCAGGGCTGAGCTTGCCTCTGAGTTGGCAGCCGCTCTGCAGCTCTGCCATGATCTCCTCCAGCAGATCCATCCTGAGACAGTAGGGCAGGCTTACCTGGGGGATGAGGAAGGGCCCAGGGTCACCCCCACCAGGGCCCCCTTTCCCACTTCTGCAAGCTGGAGAAGAGACCGCCTCCAATCAGCTCAGTGCTGGGTGCCTACAGGAGGAAAAGGCTGGAGCTGCCACCCAGTGGCCATGGAGCTCGGGCAGGCCTGGGAGGGTGGGATGGGTGTGGGATGAACTCTGCCTCCTTCCTGGCCTTCCCTGCCAGCAGCCTCCCAGTAAAAGAGGAACTTCCCTGTGGGTCTGCAGGCAGGGGCGGGCTCACAGGGCTCGGGGTGACAAGAGGAACCTCCCTGTGGGTCCGCAGGCAGGGGCGGGCTCACAGGGCTCGGGGTCCAGCAGGGCACCCTGCCTGCGGGCAGTGGCGGTCCCTGCAGGGCTTGGGTGGTAGCTCCTCAGAGCTCTGGGTCTGCTCCTGGCAGGGAGTCTGAGTCCTGCAGGCTGGAGTGCAGGGCAGGGCCTGGGGAAGCAGGGTTGGTCAGGGGTCACAGGTTTGGGGCAGCAGTTGGGACTCTCTGGTCAGAGAAGAGGCAGCCAGGAAACTTGGAGTTGGTGACTACTAGGGGGTGGGGTGCCACTTATTAGAAACAGACGGTCGCACAGGGCTCTGGGGGGATCCGTACTGCTGAATGGGCCTCCAGGCAGGAGTGTAAGCTGGCCCGGGCTGTGAGGCTGGGGCCAGGGCTGGAGCCCGGGCTGGGGCTGCTGCCTAGGGTCAAACTGCTGCCCGAGTTCCAGGTTGTGGCCCTCTGGACCCTGCTGTGGCCCGTGACCTCAGGCGCCCCTGGGGCCTACAGAGAGGGATAGCAGACAGCTGGCCTGGGTTGCCCAGGAGCCCAGCAGCTCCCTTGGCCTCCCACATCCCTGCCCTGGCTCCTACCTGGGCTGGGAGGGGGCCCGGGGGCATCACGGAGGGCCCAGGCGTGGATGTGGCTCCAGGGGCCACCTCATAGTACAGTTTCTCTGGGGAGACAAGACCAGCAGGCTGGAATGAGAGGCATAGCTCTGCCGTGCCCAGTGCCTGCCGTCACCCTCCTGTCGCCTTCCAACCTGGTGGAGAACCCGGGGGTGCCGAGGACAGTGTGGTCCACTCCGCTGGAGTCGAGTCCTGGGGGAAGGAGGCTGGGCGTAGGGACGTGGGCCTTGCCTGGGTTTCCATGCCTACCACCCACCCCCTGCCAAACAGCCCTGTACCTGGGCCATGGCCTCCCGCAGCAGGTACCGGGCATTCTGCAGGCTGCCCCGGCGGTCAGCAGGCCCCAGGCCCAGCCCAGCTTGGACCAGGGCCTGGTAAAGGCCTGGCACCAGGGGGTCCAGGGCCGGGCTCTCACCTGCCTCCAGCTTAGCCTTCACCTCAGGCCCTTCTCTCCCAGCCCAGGGCAGCTTTCCTATGAGGAACATGATCAGGACACCCAGACGGTGGCAGGCCTCGGTGGGACAGGATGTGGGGTCACTCACTGACCAGTGAACACCTCCTGGGCCAGGATGCAGAAGCTGTAGAGGTCTGAGGTGGTGGCGGGCATGTCACCGCAGATCAGCTCCAGGGGCAGCCACGGGTACAGTTCAGGGGGTGGAGGCAGCCCTGGGCCTAGGCACCCTGAGGTCTAGCCGAGCTGTGGCCTGTGGAGCCCAGGCGCCTGGTGAGCTGGCGGGCCTGCGGGACAGGGACGTGGGGGCAGGCAGGTGGGGCGGGCACTCACCTGAGCCGCAGCCCGCGTGGGTGCAGTGGGCGCCCATGCTCCGGGTTGCCCACCTTGGCCAGCCCTGGCCGCACCAGCTGCACAGCGTGTGAGCTGAGGCCGCCGTGGACACGCCGGCGGGCCTGCAGGAACA